CGCTCCGCAACTTGGGGGCCCGGGAGAGCAACAGGCAAAAAGCGCGTCTAGCGCAAAAGATACATTAGCGACTGGTGGTTTCGATCCACCGACCTTTGGGTTATGAGCCCAACACGCTTCCCCTGCGCCAAGTCGCTTGTGAGAGGGGATCCTCGCGCACGACATTTGTCCGTTGGGACTTGCGCCCGGCCGTGTCGCGGGGATCCGCCCCGCCCTGGGGCCCGATCGCGAGCCGGGCGCGGCCCGGCTGCGGCCCGGCCGCGCGGGCGGGGACGGCCCGGGCCCGACTCCCCCGGCGGGAAAGTCGCCGGCCCATTTGGGCGGCCGGGGCACCGGCCGGCGCCCGCCGCCGGTGGCGGCATTCCTCCACTGTTCCCCCATCCTCCCCTCGCTCGGCCACCTCCTTCTCGCTCTGCCGGCTCCGTCTTGCTTTGGCCTTCTGTTCTCCGGGGCGGCCGCTTCGTGGTGGTGGTCACTTGGCCAGGCGCGTGCGGGGCGCCATGCCGGCAGCCCGGATGCCATGGACGCCGCTGCTGCTGCCGCTGCCGGCGTCGGTGTTCCCCTGCCGCATGGCCGGCGCGCGCCTGGCCGCGGCGATCGCAAGCTGCCCGGGGCACTTCCCCAACGGCGAGCGCCGGCCATGCAACGGGGTCCTCAGCCTGACGGTGGCTGGCGTGGATGCGGTCTGTCGGCCGCGGTGCGGCGGCTTGGCGCCGGGGGCGTGCATGTATGGCTGGATGGCCGGGGGGCGTCGTGTGGCCAGCCGGACGCCTCTCCCTGCTGGTGGCGCCGCCGCCGCCGCCGCCGCCGCCGGTGGCCTGGGACCCGAGTGCCGGGTCGCTGGCGACGGGCTGGTCTTGCTGCTGGGCCGCCGTGCGGGGGCCCGCCCGGCGGGACACTTCGTGTTTGAGGGCCACCGTGGCCGCTGCTTGCCGGGCTGCGCCACATGCACCGGCCCCAAGGCCGACATGTGCACATCCGGCCCCCTTGGGGGCCGGTCATCCAGCAGCCCACCCTGCCGGTGGGGCTGGCTCGCCCGCGGGGCACGTGTGTGTGCCGGGTTGCATCAATCTCCGGAGCCGGTGCGCGGACACAGCGGCCGCCGGGTGGGGGCCCTGCTGGCTGGGCAGCGCCGGCCCCGTGTCCGCTGCCTGCCTGGCCGGTGCCCGATGCTTGACCCGGCGGCCGCTGTGTCCGCTGCCATGCTGCCATGCTGCCTCTGGTCGATGCATCGGGGCCCATCGGGGTCTGGCCTGCCTGCCCGGCGGGGCCCTCCCATGGTGGGGCCCGGTGTGTGGGCTGCTGCCCGGGCGCCGGTGCCACTTGCCACAGGCCGGCCGGAGGGGCCTTGCCCGGGACACCGGCTTGGCCGAGTGCCTGCCCTGTCCAGCCGACCGTGCGAAGTGCCCGGCCAACAGGGCCAATGCCCTCCCCCGCGGCCGGCGGCGCGTCGGCTGCATGGCGATCTGGCCCCCGGCATGTGTGTCGGCCGGCTGCTGGACATGCTCCTTCCAGAGGGGCTTTTGCACCAGCTGCCCGGTGGGGCTGCTCCCACGCGGCCAAGTTGGCCTGTGTGTGTGTGTGTGTGTGTGTGTGTGTGTGTGTGGGGCCCGCGACGCCGGTGAGCGCCACGAGGCCCGGCACTGCGTCCGGTGCCATGGCACATGCCTCGCCTGTGTCGAGGGCAGCTCGTCTTTCGAGTGCACCGCTTGCCCGGCTGGCCGGCCATTGCGCCGGAGTGCCTGGGCGGAGCCCCGCCCCAGGGGCTGTTACAGTCTTGCGGCGGCCGACCCGCCTGGGCAGGACTCAAGCTAGCAGCATCAGCGCCATGAGCAGCATTTGCATCAGCAGCATCAGCGACAGCGACAGCGCCAGGCCCCAGCCGAGTGGCACACGCGTCAAGAATGCCACCCCGCATGCGGCGCGATGGCCCGGCGGCGGCCTGGTGCACCGGCTGCCGGGGCGTGGCCGATGCCGGACTGGCACCCCGCCGCGCCGGTGTCTGGCCAGCTGGACACCTCGCCGGGCCACCCAGAGCCCGAGAGTGCCGGGAGTGCGACGCCCCCGCCCCCCTCCTTCCCCCTGCCCATGCCAGGCCCCTGTCGATGATGTCTCGGGCGCGGGTGCGTCATGGCGTTGCTCTTTCTCGGGCGCTCTCCCTCTCGCGCCAGCCTGCGCCGCCGCCCGTTCCCCCCTGCTCAGTGTGCCGATGGCCTCTCCGACAGTGCCTCCCCCCCCCCCCCCTCCGCGGCAGATGGTCGCAGGGGTGGGCACGAGCGTCGGGGGTCTGGCCAGGGCTGTGCCACTCCTGGCGGTGCTCCGGACAGCGGCGGTCCGGTGTTGGTGGCTATCGCGCGGGGGCCGGCCATCACTGCGGGCGAAAACCGGACCATCCTCAGCACTCCGCTGCGGCCGCGGCTCCCGCCCTACCCCCTTTCTTCCTGGCCACACACACACACACACACACACACACTCCCTCGCTCCCGCTCTGCCTCGGGTCTCCTGCCTGGCCAGGCGGCGTTCCCCGTTGTGTGGCATGGCCCCACGCATGTCGGTGGTTCTCGCGTCGTCTGCCCTGCCCCCCTTTGCGGCCCAAGCCCTGGCCATGCGCGCGCACATGCGGCTCGAGTGGGATGCGGCAGCCGGCGGCCGGGCGTGACGTCGTACGCAGGCAGCCGAATGGCGCGACCGGCCCGTGGTTAGGCGGGGGGTGCCTTTCCCCCGCCCGTCTCGCGGGTGGTGTCCTGCCACCTCGTGGGGCTCACGCCGATGGCGCGCCGGCGTGCGAGCAGCCCCCGCGCGAAAGGCACCCGGATGCGGCCCTCGAGAATGAGGCGGCCGACATGGGGTGCGCCGCGTGCTGTCCCGATGCCCCCCCCCCCCCCCCCCCCCCTCGGCTGGGGGACTCGCATGCCGGGTGTGTCCTGCACTGGTGCGGCCTTCCCGCGATGTGCTCACGGGGGCAAGGGAAAGGGGCCCGCTCCTTCCCTGGCGCATATCCCCCCTCGCAAGCTGGGGCCCCCCTTCGCGGTGGCGCTGCTCGGGTGCTCCGCCGAGAGCCGCTGGCGCTGCCGATGCCACTCTGCCCGACGAACCTGCTTGCGGGGCCTCCTCCCCCCCCGGGCCACGCATCCCGCCGGGGAGCAGCCTGCCAGCGGTGTCCGGCCTCGGCACGGGCGTCTCTCGCGGGCAGCTGGACAAACCAGCCGGAGCAGACGGGGGAGTGGGTGTCTCCGCGATGTTTCGCCATCTCACGGGGGGCGGGGGGGCCTCACCACGGGCCGCACACGCCACATTGCCCCAGTCCTGGGCCTGGGCATGGTCCACCAGGGCGGGCTTGTGTACCGGGCCATCAAGCCCTCGGGCGTGCTTCTGGGGCTGGCTTCGCAGACGGGGCCGCTCCGGCCGCGCGGGTCACGGACTTCGGCGTCCTGCGCCTCAGCTACCGGGCGTCCGGCCCCCGGATCGGCGTTGGGGCGGGGGGACTCCGGCGCGCCGCACGCCGCCGCGCCCGGGGCACCCGCAGGCGTGGGCCGTGTCGTCTTGCTGCGACTGTCGGGCTCCCACCCGGTTGGAGGGGGCCCCCGGGGGCGGGAGAGACCACAAGGAGCCGGCCTCCGCAGGGCCGGTGTCGCCGGGGCCGAGTCCCTCCGGGCAGCCAGCACATTGAAGCCGCCACATGGGCACATGTGCACGCACCGGGGCGGCGAGCAGGGGCAGGAGAGGGGGGCCGGGGGAGTGCCAGGCCGCGCGCCCCTTGCCGCCGGGCGCCGCTCTCGCGCACAGGCGTCGCGCGCCCTGTGTCGATCGTCGGCCGGCGGACGTCGGTGCCCTCTGATGGGGAGATCGCGGTGTGCGGGGGCCCGGGCGCCAGGAGCGTCGTCCGCAGAAAAGCACGCGCGCGCCTGTGCAGGGCCCGGGGCGGGGACGGGCCAGCCGGGTGGGAGATCACACGCTCTTCCCCGGCTGACCCGGCGGCATTAACTGAGCGCGCGGATCTGGGCCTTCACGGGATCCTCCGGGCGGTGTCGGCGTGGGATGCCAACGGTGTCCTGCGGCAGCTGGGCCTGTCGCGGGCGCGGGCGCTGCCCCCCCCCCCCGGGCTCCGGCCGGCATCGGGAGGGGCGGCCTGGGCGCCCCCTGCCGCGGCTGCTGACCGTCCGGGGCTGGGAGAGCGCGCGGCACCGGTGGCCGGGGTGGGACAGCGGCGGTTGCCGGCGTCTGCCAGGCGATGCTGGCCGACCGTTGGGACGCCCGCCCACGCCTGAACGTCCGCCTCTGGCGTGCGCGCCCGGGTGAGGGCGGGGCAAAGGCGGCCCGTGGACGAGGTGCGCATCGAAGGGGCCCAGGGCCCGGGACGGGGGGGGGGGGGGGGGGGGGGGGGGGGGGGGGGGGGGGGGGGGGGGGGGGGGGGGGGGGGGGGGGGGGGGGGGGGGGGGGGGGCATGCGCGCATCGGCGCACTGGCACCCTGCCGACAACCCTGCGGCGGACGGGGCGCAGGACGGGCCGTTGTGACGGCCGCCTGTGAGGGGGCGCGGGCATTGGTGTGGGCAGGGGACGCGCGCGCTGGCATGAGCACTCCGCCGGACCAGGGCGCGCTCTCATTATGGCGGTCTGCGGTGGCCGGGGAGCGCCTGCGCACGTACGCCCGCACGTACGCACGTACGCCTGCACGTACACTCACACACACACGTACACGCACCCCCCACATATTTATGCTCATGTGCGTGTGTGTGTCTGGCTTACTGGGATCACTCCGCGCGCGGTGTCCGGGAGGGCCAGGAGGGGGGAGGGGGCAAGGGGCGACGGTCGGCCCTGCTGGATCGTTCGCGAGACGCGCCTGGGGTTGGGAGGGCGGGGCGGCCCCTGTCCGGCGGCCAGCCAGGGCTGCCCGGGGTGGCCCTGGCTGCCTGGCCGGCGGCGCGAGGGGGGCGCATGCCCCCATGCCTTTCGGGGCGTGCGTACGTGAGGATATTCGGTTTTGCACGGGCGTGCGCCGGCTAAATAAAGGCAATCAATGAGGGAGAGACGTGCGCGAGCTCACGCCGCAGCCGGGGGAGAGGGGGGGGGGGGGGTGGCCAGGGCATCTCCCCCTGTCCCCTTGGCGCGTTGGCCGTTCTCAGGAACCCGGCCGGGCGGCCGCCCCCGACCCGATGTGTGTGTGTGTGTGTGCGCGGGCATGCGCACCCGCCGCGGCCGGCGGGACAATAAGCCGGCGGGGGTCGCCCAGCAACCCCGGGTCGGCCAGCCGGAATGCCGGGCGTGCGCACCCTTGGCGCTTGAAATGAGGCCGGCCCACGTCCCCCGGCCCCCGGCCCCCGGCCCCCCATGGGGCGAGCCTGGCTCGCTGGTGGGCGAAAACAATAACATGCGTGCGCATTTTTACACACGCACGCATTTCACGCTCGTGCGCGGGGCCCGGGCCCGGGCCCGGGCGAGGATGGCAGGGACCGTTCGCCGCGCCCCGGCGCACGCTCGGCGCGACCGGGCCGCGCGCGCGCGCACCTGGGGCCTCCGCCCGGCGGCCGCATCCCGGCAGCCTGGATGTCTGTGCCCGGGTGTGCGTCTATCTGCCCCGGGGCGGTGGTGGGGCCGGCATGCATCTGACCCGATCGCAAGCGCGCGCATACACGCACCCGAAGTTGCGCGGCCCCCCCTCGCGAACGTGGCCGCCGCCCATATACCAGCCTGGCCTGCCATCTTCCTTTCGCCCGGCGCCGATCGGACCCCGGCCATCGTGAGAGCACGGCCTCCCAGCCATGGAGGGGGGGGGGCGCGGACTTTTTTCTGGCAGACCCCGTTCGCCCCGGGGTCCCCGGCCCGACCGCGGCCAGCCCGCCGTGGCAGGGTCCCCCGGCGGAAACCCGGCCCGCTGGGGGCGATCTACCAGCGCCCCCCCCCCTCCCCCCCCGCCCAACTAGGGGCCCGGACAACGCCAGGGAGATCTCGGGGACCCCCGGCGGGCCGGAGCCGGGCCGCAGACACGCCAGCCCCCCCCCCCCCCCCCCCCCCCCCCCCCCCCCCCCCCCCCTCCCCCCCCCCCCCCCCCCCCCCCCCCCCCCCCCCCCCCCCCCCCCCCCCCCCCTTCCCTCCTGCCTCCCCCTCCCCTCCTGCCCTCCCCTCCCCCCCTCCCCCCCCCGTCGCAGCCGCGGCCACAAACCACATGCGAGCGGGCACTGGGCTGCTGCCGCGGGCGGGGCTCCTGCCCCTGGTGGGCCTCCTGATGGTGCTGCTGGGGATGCTGCTCCCCGGGCCGGGGGCCGGGCTGCCGGTGGCCCTCCGGCCGCTGGCCGGCGGCCAATCCCCCGACGCGGCCAGGCGGCTGCCCTCCGCCAGCACGCGCGCCCTGGCGGCCCCGGCGACCCCGCCCCCGGCCTCGGCCATGGACACCGAGGAAAAGATGTCGGCCCTCCGGTGCTACTTCCTCAATGGCAAGTGCCTGTCACAGTGCCCGCCGGAGGCCCCCTACCATGTGCTGGTTTTCATCGTGTGGACCTGCCAGCAGAAGGGCCTGCCCAATTGCCGGATCCAGTCCATCAACTGCGACCAGTGCTTCCCCGGGTATCTGATGGACGACAACCGCCGGGGGTGCTCCTGCCCGGAGGAGGGCTGCGTCCTGTGCGACCAGCCGCCCCTCGGCCAGTGCGGCCTGTGCACCAGCGGCCGGCACCTGTACCAGGGCTCTTGCTTGGAAAGCTGCCCGGCCGGGTTCTACTCCAACCGGGGCATTTGCGAGGCCTGCCGGGCCGGGTGCGCCCGGTGCGACGCCGGCCCCGACACCTGTGACGCTTGCAACCCGGGGCTGCTGCTGCTGGATGGGACCACCTGCGAGACGTCCTGCCCGCGGGGGTACTTCGCCGAGGGGCCCCCGGGCGCCGGTGGCCAGGCCCCGGCCGACCGGTGTACCCCCTGCGGGCCGCACTGCAGCGATTGCCAGGGGCTGGTCGATTGCCGGACCTGCCAGGCCGGGTGGCTGCTGCTGGAGGGCGAGTGCCTGGCCGACTGTCCGGATGGCCACTTCCCGGATGCCCAGGCCGGGGTGTGTCGAATGTGCGATGACAAGTGCGAAGTGTGCACCGGGCCCGGGGCATGTGGCCAATGCGACCCGGCAACGTCGCTGCATGCGGGCCACTGCGTCGACTCCTGCCCGGGGGGCTTCTTCCGCCGGGTGCTGGAGGACGCCCAGCACGGGGTGTGTGACCGGTGCCATGGCAGCTGCCTCGAGTGCCATGGGCCCGGGCCCAGCCAGTGCACCGCGTGCGCCGAGAACCTCTTCATCAAGCAGCCCATCCCGCCGGTGAGCCCGCCCCTGGACCGGGGCCCCTGTGTGCAGGACTGCATGAATGACCCGACCCAGTGCGCCACATGCGAGCCGGAGTGTGCCACCTGCCGGCCGGGGCCCGACGGGCCGGCCGGCCGGTCCGAGTGCCTGGAATGCCACGACTCGTGGGTCCTACTGGAGAGCGAGTGCGTGGACCGCTGCCCGGCGGGCTATGCCACCATGGCCTCCGGGGCCTATTGCGCCCGGTGCCACGAGTCGTGCGCGGCCTGCATCGGGCCCGGGGCCAGCCAGTGCACCAGCTGCTCGGACCCGAGGCAGGTCCTCCAGGCCGGCGAGTGCCGGGATGAGTGCTCGTCCGTCGGGTGGTTCCTCCAGGCCCCGGGGCAGTGCGCCCCTTGCGGGGCCAATTGCAGCCGGTGCGCCGGGCCGGCCGACGACGCGTGCACCACCTGCCGTCGGGGGATGCTGGAGCTGGCGTCCGGCTCGGTGCCCGGCGGGATGTCCTGCTTGAAGTCCTGCCCCGGGGGGTACTTCGCCAGTGGGAGCACCTGCATTGCCTGTCTCGGGGGCTGCACCGCGTGCCAGGGCCCGGGGGCGTGTTCCTCCTGCCGGCCGGGGCTGCTGCTGCACCAGGGCACCTGCACGAGCCAATGCCCGGCCGGGTATGCGGCGGTGGCGGCCCCCGGGGCCGGCGCCGGGTCCGGCATCCGCCAGTGTGCCCCCTGCTCGGAGGCCTGCGCCGAGTGCGGGCCGCGAGCCGGGTCCGACCCGGCCACCGCGCCGGGGTCCCTGTCCGAGCGCCGGTGCACCGGCTGCATGGAGGGGCACTTTTTGGCGGACGCCGACACCGACCAGGCTCGCTGCCTGGCCGCCTGCCCGGCCGGGCAGTATGGCGATGTGCTGACCGGCATGTGCCAGGCCTGTGGCGCCGGCTGCCCGACTTGCTCCTTTGGCCGGGACTTTTGCACCAGCTGCCCGGAGGGGCTGCTGCTGCGCGACCGCCATGGGCTGTGTGTGAGCACCTGCGCCGGGGACGAGCACCAGGAGGCCGGGGTGTGCATCGTCTGCCATGACACGTGTGCCACCTGCGCCGGGGGCAGCTCGGCCTCCAGATCGGAAGAGCGTCGTGGCTGCCCGGAGGGGCTGCTGCTGCGCGACCGCCATGGGCTGTGTGTGAGCACCTGCGCCGGGGACGAGCACCAGGAGGCCGGGGTGTGCATCGTCTGCCATGACACGTGTGCCACCTGCGCCGGGGGCAGCTCGGCCTCCCACTGCACCTCCTGCCCGGAGGGCCGGTCGCTGCATGAGGGCGCCTGTGTGGAGGCCTGCCCGGCGGGCTTCTACAGCGATGTGCCGGATGAGCCGGCCCCGGAGGATGGGGCCCCGGGGCCCGGGTCGCAGGCCCCGCGCGAGACCCCCCGCTGCCGGGTCTGCCATGTGGAGTGTGTCACCTGCCATGGGCCGGGGTCGGGGCAATGCACCAGCTGCCCGGCTCCCTGGCTGCTGCTGGGGTTCAGCTGTGTCGGCAGCTGCCCCGGGTCCGGGTACCTGCTGGACGAGGCCCGGCCGAATGAGTGCCAGCCCTGCGTCGAGTATTGCGAGTACTGCCCGGCCGGGGTGGACCGGTGCGACCGGTGCCGGGCCGGGACCCTGCTCCTGCCGGGGGGGTCCCCCTCGACCAGCCCTTCGGACCGGTGTGTCACCCAGTGTCCGGGGATGTTCTTCCACAACTTCGACGCCTCCCTCTGCGAGCCCTGTGCCGAGGGGTGCATGGTGTGCACCGGGCCCGATGCGGCCGATTGCACGCAGACCATCGAGTGTGCTCAAAACAGCGGGCGATGTGAGAAGGCTGGTGCGTGTGCGGGGGGGGGGGGGGGGGG